CCGAACCCAGCTTAAAATAAACCCTATTTAATTATTTGTATTAAATAGGGGAACTTGTCGGCAAATAAAACGGTTTCGCATACCAAACGGATTCATATGTTTTCTTAGTTTATTTGATCGAGCCTCATCCTCAAATCTTGTGTTTATCCCTCGGGGTAGATACAGAATTTGAGGTAGAGTGCTCTTTCATTTAAACTGTGAAAAATATGAGGTCAGTTTGCAGTTTGATTTCATATTTTTCTAAAATTATATATATATACACGTAAATTAAAAAGTCCTTCCGAAGCGGGTAACGGGATTTCGATTCCGGCGACCGACAGCTTCTTACGGGCGACCCCCAAACATTCTTTTCCCCTTTTAAGCGCCGACAAGAAGGCACATCTTTCATGTGGGAGGAAGGAGCGATTCGTGCTTACTTTGTGTCATTCCATGAGAAGGAAGTCCAAGCCCTAGCCGTAGGTGAAGGAGAGGAGGCAAGTACTCCTTGGGCTTCGACAATTTGTGCAAGTGTTTGCGGGAGGAGGTTCGACTCCGCTTGTGCTAGGGAGAAGAGACAAGAGGCTCGAACTGAGAGAAGGAAGGGACTTGCGCAATTTGTTGGGTCGGGACGATATTGAAGAAGGTAGGGTTTTGCGCGGGTGCTTGCCTGGGAAATCAAAGTTGGAGGAAGAGAAGGAGGAGGTGGCATCGTGCGGGTTAAGGGGGAGACCGAGCCGAGTTCATCATTATGTGAGTTATTTGATTTTTAGTTTTAATTATAAATTTAATATATTAAAGATGTTATAATATTAACATAAGATTTCATGAATTTAAAATAGGTACTGTATGCGAAAGGTTTTGGTGCAAAGAAGAAGGGAGACGGTTCCTGCGCCTGCGGATAAGGGCAACCTACCAAAAATTGTTTTAAGGTTAGGGTAAGTCTTAATTTCAGATTTGATTAATTTAAATAAATAATATAAGTAGAAATGTTAGCTTATATTAATTTATAGCAGGATCTTTTAATCGAAGAAATCTTACTTCGTAAGATTGTGACACAAAAATTATTGATTTCATATACGATAAATAAAAAAATGTTAAAACTTCTTTTATGTTTTAATTTAAAGATTTTGTTTTAATTAATGATTTGGCATTAATAGTAATATTATAAACTGAATTAGTGATTAAATGAACTTATTCGAAGAATTAAGGCTTGAGATCGTGGTTTTGCATGGAGAAAGAAAGAAAAGGGTAAGTTGAATTAGTATATCTTTAAATTCCAACAATTATTTCTATTTCAAATTATATGTTTGATTTCATGCATGTCCTAGTTCAACAATAAATTCTTCATATTATCAGATAAGATAAATATGCATGTTAAATATAATTGTATAACAATTTAGTTTAGGAAAATATCATATTATTAAATGACTCTAGCAAAAACATATATGTTAGCTCATCGCATGATCACACACACACGTTTGTGTCACATTATTGTTTAACTTCTATAGTTTTAGTAAATGTGAATATGTCAGCTGATTTCTTGACTTATAAATATAGCAAGTTTGCATTTATTCATCAGCAAATAGAAAAAAGTAAAGTGTTTCATAAAAAAATAATGCATGATATAGAAGAATGAAATAAATTATATATGAATGCTTGTATGTACATGGTAAGAGGAGTTCACTCTCTAATGTTGCAGAAAGAGGACGTCAATGCACTCACACGCGTAAATGTTTTTTCTACCACCCAAGATAATTATAATGTTTAGATCACTAACCACTGTGCCGACAGTAGAATATCGGCCAGAGGCTCAAGGGCAAGTAGCAGAGCTTACCACCCAAGACTTTTGTGATATTTAGATTGTTAACCGCTATGCCGATAGGAGAATATCGGCCAAGGGGGAGTAAAACCCTTTTTACCTCAGATAATTGTGGTGTTTAGATCTTTAATCGCTATACCCGACGGTATAATACTGGTCATGAGTGTGTTAAGTTTTGTTGATAGTGATCTTTGAAGAGGCAGATGTGTATATAAAGAGTATAAAAAAAATTAAAGTTAAAATAAATTGATATGAAGATTTAAGTATTTTTCTTTAAAAAAGGTCATTGACACATGCATTAGTATATTCAAATATTTCTTATTGAATTATGAAAGATTAACATATTCCAAGATTTGTCATAGAGATATAAAACCGGCATGCATATTGTTTTCTCCTCTTTGGGTAATTGTTGTTTAGAAGTATGATTGCTCATGAGTTTTCTTTAGATAACTCATTATGTTGTTTATTTTTTTTTTCAACTTTTAAACTTTTAAATAAGATGAATAGAAGACGAGCTAATATATACATAAGGATAGAACAATAAATTGAAAGATAACTTTTTTATTTGTTAATGTAATTGAATTCTTTAGGGAATCTTTCATTTAAAATTGTGGATAATGATTGTTAGTGATAGAAACAGAATAATATAAAATTTAATTTTTCACCCCCCGACCATCCGTTCCTGTCTTGGTTAATCTAATCCTCGGGCTAAGTCGTGACATGTATGCATGTGTATATCTTGGAATATGGATTTAGCATAGAAGTTTGAAAATGATTTGAGTTTGGATCTATTTTTGACTATAATTGAACTCAAACAGAGATTGGAGCCAAATTATGACCAAATTTGTCATTAAAATGCAGACTTAATCTACTATAAATTTGTGTATATTTTCCTTTCAAGTGGGATTGATTTTTAATTCAATTAGATGGGTTATGTTGTGGCGGCTATGCCTGAACTAAGAATGATTTGTATGACTCAATATAACGGCTCCTTTTAAGGTAGTTGAAATGGAATCATGCTTGCAAATACTAAGAAATGCTATACCAGCTCGTGAGATGATATGCGCGCTTGCTGAAAAGTTCAGGTATTGCATGATAAATCTTCTGTCCAAAAAAATTGTAAATTTTCCAGACTATGAATCTGTTAATGTTTAAAATGGATTGTAATTTTGTTATTATCTGAAGTGCCTCAACTGCTCGAGCTGGAAAAACTGCTGTGCAGCCAAAACAGGTTAGAGGCATTTCTTGTAATTTATCTTTTGAAAAAGTGAGGTCACAAACCTTATTTATTTTAAAGTTTGTAGGTTTGGAATTGGTTCCAAAACAGAAGATATTCACAAAGAGCAAAGGTTAAGGTTCCGGTGAATCAGACTATCCCTCCTCCTGTGACTCGAGATGATTCTGTTCAATTTAGAAATGTGGTTCAACCCATTTCTATTCCCCAAGGTGTTCCTCAAGGTATTTTTATAAACATAAAAATTTCAAAGTGCTTTGCTACTCGTTACCTGCCACTTTTTCAATGTTTGTATTGTTAAAGTTGTTATATGGTATTATGTTTGTTTTATTTTGTTTTAATTTAGTGTTATTTGACAAAAAAGCTCTGTTGTTACAGCATTGTTAATATAAAGCTTTTGTTTGTTACCACAATGTATGATTGAATCACGATAGCTTATTGGTAACAAATTATCGCTTCTTTACACATGCATTTGTACAGATGAAGTTGTTATATGACGTTATATTGATTTTAACATATTATTATCTTGGAGCTATTTATCAAAGGTCTCTGATATTGCAGCCTAGTCGAATATCACATTATTACTTTTTTTTCTTGTTTTTATAATGTATGATCGAATTGCAAGCACTTATTGGTTTAATTTATTTGCTTCTGCAACGCACCTTTCATTCTTCTATGGCAGAAACTTTGCCCTTTACTTTCTTATTTCTGGATCTAATATTAGGGCTTTAATGAATTGGGGTTGCTGATCTGCTGTAGTAATTCTTGGTTGATGATGGTTTTGCTCTTGAAATTTTTTTAACCTCTAAAGTTTTAGTTTCACTATGATGTAACGAAATCAATGAGGCTTCTATTGTTAATAACTTGATTTACTAAAGAATTTTGTTATCCCTTTCAACCATCATAAAAGTCGGTAACTGTTTTAGGCAAGAAAGCATGTGCGTTCAATCTAAGTTTGTTAACTCATTCAAGTTTAGAAAAAAAATAATTTTTTTTTTACAACATTATGTTTTAGATTTTATTTTTATTGTATTCCCATGCAACGTTTATGTTGAATCCAACGCATGATTTATGTATTAAGTCCTTCAAACGATCCTTTTGATCCAATTGTATTGGAAAAAAATAGTTTTTATTGTACTTAAAACTGAATTTAATCGGTTTGTATTTCCTGAATTCAAGTTGGATTTCTTACAAACATAAAATTTCAGGACAGAATTCAGTTGAGATTTCTCAGTTGGAATTTGAGGCAAAATCCGCGAGGGACGGAGCATGGTTAGTAAGATTTTTTTTTCTAGCTCAATTTCAGTTGAGTGATGGATGTTGACATCTTGATGTTTCAAATTACTTAAGTATTTAATATAGCTACATTGATTTATACTTTCCTCAAGGATTGAGAATTTTTCAAAAACTAAATAAGATTTTAATATTAATACTCTTTCGAAGATCGAGAATCATTCAAAGACTTTGATTGCTTCTCATTTTTCTACTTCTCTTTCTTCTGTCTCTCTTATAGTACTTGATTTTTCTTTTGCCTGTTGCTGCTCTACATCATATATATTTTTGCATGGATTCTTATTTTGTGCATGTATTTATGGATGAATTGCTTTTATGTTAGAATAAGAAATAACTTTCTTAACAGAAAAAGACAGATCTTGGGGATATGCAACGTTTGATGCCTAAATTCTGCATTTAAGAGATCCATAACTTTTTCAAATTCTTTGTCTGACCAGATAGCAGATATTAGGCTACAATCTCATCTCCCTCGGGCATAGAAGTGTATCTGGTTTTCTTTATCTCCAGACTTTATTTGTTGATATCACCTAATATTTACTAATATTTAGAATTTGTGACTTGAATTTTGTTGGGCTTTGATAAAAAAGTTTGTGGTGCACCAAAACTTATGGGAAAATTTTTTGGGGATCTGTGGTAATAGCAGAGGGATTGGGCTGATGCAAACTTTTATGTTTCAAGCTCGATTGTGTTTGGGCTTTTTTGCATACTTCTATATATAGTAGGTGCTCTACTCTGTAGTCTTCTTCGACATTAGTGAATTTTCTTCTTCTTTGCCCATAAATTTTTCCATCTCGGGGTTTCCACATAAACTTCTGTATAAGTTCATTATATTAATTTGGTGCCATAAACCATAATTGACGATCTATCTTGGCCCATGACACGTAAAAAATAAAAATTAGCTAAAATTATTTGAAAGTCTTATGAAATGCATTCTTGCAAATGTTTTCTAAACAATAGAACGCTTTAATAGTTTTAAGAATATTTTTTTTCTTGTCATTTGAAGAAAAATAGCATGTTGTAGTTCTATTTTGCGAGGTTACAGCTTTTCAATACTTTTGTATATTAGCATGCCTGATGAATGCATTAAATATTCTTAGTTAATTAGTACAAAATCTTTTGTTATTTTATGCTGATAGATTATTTAATGGCTATCACGTGCAGAACCATAGGAGAAACATATGAGCTGGTCGATTCCACCCAACTTGCGAAAAATAGACGCATTATTTTGTTGATGATGTCAACAATATTATTTTGATTGCTGTCATCAATTGTGGATTTTTTATGCTTTTGCTTCAATTTCCAAACCTTTGCTTTTTAAATTTACTTTAGTTTTTGTATTTTCTTTCGGGGCATTTATATAATTTGCTTATAATTCTTACCTAATTTTTCATATTTACTTTTATGACACTCAACTTTAATATTACAATAAAAAGACCACTATTATTAACTTTTTAAAAGTGAAAACACCTTTTCATGCATAGGTTTAAGACACTAGTGTTATGAATGTAAATATCAAATTTTAGGTGTTTGATATGTAAATTTTTAGTAATTGCATGGTATTTATATAAATTTCCCTTTTTTTATTGATCAATTAATCCACGCAAAGCAAATATTGAAGTCAGATCTTACGCCAATATATTTATCTTCTATTTGTGATTCTTTTGTAGGTACGATGTTTCAGGTTTTTTGTCCCATAGAAAGATTGAAACTGATGATCCGGTAATTTTTTTCTTTAATGCAGTTTGTGATATGATTTGATTACCCGACTGCCTCATAATCCCTACTGTGTATAGTAGCTTTGAAATTGTTTAGAACATTTTCTGATATTTGAACTTTGGTCCCAATTTTTGGATGGCCATACCTGATTAGCTGGCTAATGTATACATGAAGACAGCCATTTTGTCTCATTTATGTTGTCTTTCTGTAGAGAGCAATGACATAATCGTTTAAGAATACTGTTTTAGTGGGAAAACATATGGGGTGAACTTATAGGCCTAAAGAGGCAGACGATCCAGCCCATTGCAGATATACATTTAAACCAAACCTGTTAATGGCTTCTCTACTCCCATGTGCATCCTTATCTGTCGTCATGTATACTTTAACCACCATCTTGATTTGTCATCATCACCTCCATGCCAAAATACCATATCTGTAAGGGCATCAAAATAGTCTTTTGTGTGGGCTCCAAAAATTTTGCGTCCAGGCCTCCCTAAAAAATGAAAGACGAGAGAATTTTATGGTTAGACTCTCGATCAAATTTTCAGAAGGTGGATGTGATATCGGATAAGTCATAGCCCATAGATTTCTCTCTCGTCTTACTAGAACTTTTAAGTTATGTGGTTCGAGGTTTCCCATAGGTGTTTCCCCTTATGGTTTAATTATTCTTCCTGATAACTAGGTAATATTTTTTATTATGTTTGATCATTGGAGAGCTAATTGTTTAACTTAAAGTAGCAACAATTTTAGATTTTAGATTTAAAATTCATCACCATGAGTTTAAAAATGGATGATGGGGCAAATAATGATGAACATGATTAAGATCGCATGATTTCTTTATTTTGTCATCCTAGGTCATACTACTCAGAACATATACTCTGCCTAACTTGACAGAATGATCATTATTAGCATCCATAAATTGCTAAATATGAAAGGTTAGGTGTAAGATATGCCAACACATAAGACTTGTGTGCTCTGGATGTAAATTTCCCTGAAGAAAAAATGTTTGCAAAGAGCAAAATAGGTTCAAGTAGGCATTAACTTGTGAGGTGTTGTTCTAGGATGAAAGATAATATGTGTGTGGGCGAGTAGAGCATAACTGTAATCCCTTTCTTCTGTCTCTCTTTTTTGTCAGTGTTGTATGAGGTTCAAATTAACGATATGGAGGGAAAACTTGTAGTGGGCTTGGGAGTAAGTGCTGAAAGGCGGAGAGCTAACCTAGGTAAGATCGAGAGTTTTACCCTTGTAATATTTTCTGTGAAAAAATGAAAAGTGCCTTCCAGCTAATTTACTAGATATTTGGGGCAAATAAGGTCATTTTATAGTAACTTCTAATAAGATTTAACCCAAAAATATTGGTCATGAATATGTAGGTTTTATTTGTATGTACTCATAAAATTGGGCTGGCTTAGCAAGGTCAAGCCAACATTGATATCTCCCCATCAAACAGCCATCCCCTCAAACACAAAACACATGCATATTCATGATGTAACACCTGGTTACATGGAGGAGGCGAACGATGGGTCATTTTCTTTATGAAAAGGCGAGAGCCGAAGTAGAGAGAGAGAGAGAGAGGGAGAGAGGGTAAGACCTAGTAAAAGAGATGAATAAGATGGGTGGGGGTGCTACGACAGAGATGAGAGCAGTCGTAACTGTTCTCTAGCACTTGCGAGCAATGTTGAGGGCGACATTGAGCTTGTGTTCGAATACCTGCGAAAACGACACAGCGACATGCATAGTAGAAGGTGAGCTCATCGTCAGAGAGAAGATCGAACAAATGCTCTTGTAGTCAATCTTGATCAGATTCAAGGTTGGGATTGAACGGTGAGTTTTTTCGAGTGGCTTGAGAGAGGAAGATGAGTGGTTGTACATGGCTCTTGTGAGCACACACAAAGAGGAAACCAAAAGGATATTTGTGAGTTTATTCCGAACGAAGCTTCGATTGGAGATGAAGTCCTAGAAGCAAGCTCGAGTAGGACTAGGCGACCTCACGGGTTAGATTTTTATTCATATCTAATGTATTTAATTCATCATTTTATCTTAAGTTCCATTTTTATGTTATAAAATTTTATTGAAAAAAATTAATTATATAAATGTAATGCAAAATAAATAAATAAATAAATTGTAGAGATATTCTAAATTTGAAAAGAGAAGATTTAATGTTTAGTTGTAATAATTATGAAATTAATGATAATAATATGATTATATAGTTTAAGAATAGCTAAATGTATAGGTATTACTTAAAAAAATGATTCATTATATATTACCATAACTTAATAATAGTAATAATAAAGCAAAAAAAATTAGTTTTTTTAGAAGTTTTAATTAGATTTGCAAGATTTATAATTTAATCAATGTATTATATTTAAAATTAAAATTTAAGGATTATAATCTTACCTAAATGATTTAATAAGAAAATGATTAATAATTAACTAAAACATATTTATGTTATATGATAAAATTTTATTAATATGAGCATTTTCTAAATTATAGGTGTTCAAATGAAAGAATTATGATTCAAGGTGTAAAAATGTGGAAAACATAGATGTGAGTACTCATGCTTTTAAATTATAATAGGACTTAGCTTTTTTTGAAATCTAATACATATTATTTATTCAAATAGATTTCATACTACAAGATTAAAAATGATTTATCTATTCTTTAAGTTCAATTGGTCATATTGAATTGTATGTTACCGATCTTTGTATATGTCCATCTATCACATATTTTCAGGTACTAGATTATATATTGAATGTTATGAAAATAAGAATGAGATTGATAAATTAGATTTTAGGTACATGTATTTTGGAAAGGTGGTTGATTTTGATGTAACTTAATTAGTATAACTTTAGACGGTACTTCTGTAACGATTGTAAACGATGAGATATAGATATAGATAAGTTATTGTAATCTATTACTTAATGTTCTAAACACCACTATATGGTCATAATTGAATACTAAAATGTTGATTGTTTTTTATTTTTATTAGATATATTTAACTAGGATACACTTTGTTTCTCTTTTATTCTATTATGAAAGTTTAGAAGTATTAATGTTTACTGATTATTATTAGTTCATTCTATTTTAAATAAATATTTTTCAGGCTGAAAATATAAGATATACACAAGTAATAGAAAAGAAAATGTGCATAGATGTCAACAAATAAAAAGGTAAATTTAATATTTATTTTTAATTTTAAATCATTATCAACTCTTTCTTTCCTTTATTTAGAATGAATAAATAAATTTTAATTTCACCATCTGACCGACCGTTTATGAATTGAAAATTCCAAGCCCCCGGCTCAGATCGTGACACATGATATCTTGAACTTACAGAGCATTTTGTGAGTCAATAATATGCAATAAAAATTAGTCACCTTTTTTTGTAGTATTGATTTTGTTCCATGTTCAAAAGCATAAAATCAAACTCCAAATGAAAAGAAAAATAATTATTATATTTATGTTAGGCATATTGTGTCAGCTCTCATATAAAGTTGTCATGCCAAAATAATGATTGCAACATTTACTTATGTAGGTCCTAATTTGATTTATTTTCTATGAAGCATTGGGATATCAAGTTAACACTTTGGTCAAGATGTTAAGATAAATTTGGTGGATCTATAGTTGCTAACAAGATTGAAGTATAATTACCCATTTTATGAGCTAACCGAGTTTTTGTTAATTTTTTTTGAAATTTAGGTTACGGTAAATTATATTTTGGTGTTTTAAGGTAATGGAGGTGTTGGACGCTAGCATGCATTGTCAAAATCTTCTTATGTAAGCCCTTCTTGCTTTTCAATGCATAAGTTGGTCCTAAGTTAAATTGTTAATCTCATGGAATCCTTTTCCAATAATGACAACGACACTTATTTTGGTTAAATTTACTCGTGTGAATGACTATCTTTTTTCATTGGCAAATTCTCACTTTTTTTCTTATGAAAGCACCTCGATTGAAAAAGACTATGTTACTATAGAGAAAAGAGGTTAAGATTTCTAACTATTTTTAATAAATAAATACCTAAGAATTCTGTTTAAGCAACAAAAATAAACATGTAGTTTTGGTCAGTGATTCGTCATCTTGTTTACTTTTTAGTTGATAGGTATTTTTTTCATTTTGGGTTACTTCTCTTAGTGTTTGGGGGATTCTTAAGCTTACGATAATTTGAATAATAATTTCGGTAATAAAAGAAGAATCCTAGTAGTTATAGCTCAAAATGACCTCAAACCAAAATCAAACTTCTCAGCCAGTATTTTTTTTTCATTTTGGTTACTTCTCAGCCTTTTTTTTTTCTAGTGCCCGTTGCTTTCTCCTCCATCACCAGTTTCTTCTCTATTGATTTAATGACTATAATGATCCATAGATATTTTAGGCGAATCGATTTTAGTCTCCATTTTCTCAAGTGTTCAATTTGGTCACCAAACTCAGTAAATTTGAATTGATTTAGTCAAACTATCAATTTTGCATTTGTTTGGACAAAAAATGGTGAAGAAAGCTTTTCATGAGGCAATTCTGGACTTTTAAGGGTGAATCTTATTAGTTTGAGCAAGTGTTAAGTAGTGGGATTGGCCATAAGAAATAAAAAATCCCCTCATAGATGATTAAATTCATCAATTTTAGTTCAAAGAATGATAAAGTTGAAGACACGATCAAATTGATTTTTGATTTGATGAGTTAGGAGACTAAAGTGGACATATGGAATAGTTTGGAATTAAAATAAACACATTTAAAAAGTTTAGGAATCATTTGTGGCACTCACTATATTCTTTTGGGGCTTTTACAGAGATGCCCACAATTCTCATGCATTTACATATCTATCACGTATACTTTCATATTTACATGCATAGCACTCAAATCTTGAATATCACTTAAAAAAATCACTTTTACTTATATTTTAAAGGGGAAGTACACCTTCTCATGCATGGCTTTATATTACAAAGTGTCAATCCGCGTTGGGAAGGAACTCCTTTTCTTTCCTCAAAATATATTTCACTAATTATTTTTTC